ATTTCTTACAGTTCATTCAAATGATACATTAATAAGGCTTTTATTCATTATATTTTGACAAAATGCAATTTTGTTAACATTTTAGTCAAAACACTATATTTGCCTTTTTCTCCATAAACAACTTTTAGACTAAATCCTGGTTTTGATGTGACGGGTCACATATTAGGTGTGTAAACATGAGACAAGATGAGCTTAATCCTCTATAATATGAGTCATAACTAATGTACGAACCCTCCTGTGTGTGCGTTTGTTACAATGTGTGTTGTTGTTGCAGGATACCCTGAGCCCACAAAGACGCAGCTCAACAGTGTTTTCAACAGCAGGTAATATTACAGTTTTACATGTTACATGCTTTATTATGTCAGGAGTCAAATGTTAGCTCAGAATTAAAATAAAACATGACCTGTCGTCATGGTTGTCTTTAAAGGCCAACATCCTTCCAGTCACAGATTAGTTATGAAAACATGAAATAAAAGTTATGAAAATGTGAGCTGTTTTAATAGAGACACACAGAAACAGTTCCTCTAACCTTTTTAATCTCATCCTCATTTTGATATCTGAGAGTCAGACTGAATGTTGTTTTTCTGAGAAAAACTTTTGGTTCCAACTGGAACATAAAAGTTCCTTAAAGCACACTTCCCTAAAGTCTTTATTGTTTTTCATTGTCAGTACAGAAACAATGACAGAAAGCCTGTATTTAATGAACCTTGTTTGTCGTTGGTTTGCAGTAACCTGCCTGTGAAAAGCCCTGATCAGACCAACACCTTCCTGTCCACGTTCCTACAAACCCTGGGCTCAGTCACCGGCTCCCAGAGACCTCCCTCAGCCGGTCCTGTTTCTGTCAATCCCTTTGAACTAATGGTGCAAACACACACACACAAACACACACGTGCAGTACTCACACTGTCAGACTCATTACAAAACAATGGGATTGTTTTTTAATCCAGGATAAGAGAAGAAATCTGGGTTTAACCAAGCAGGTTTCACAAACACAAACCAGGCTGAGCATCTTAATATCTGCAGCTGTAGAAACATTTTTACAACAAAACCTCAGTTTTAGTTTTTATCTAACTATGTTAGCTAACAGTGTAAATATATTAGTCATTTTAGTCTGAACAAACAGACAATTAAAGCACAAAAGACTGGATGAATCAGATTTTTACAATAAGACCTTCTGATCAGGGTGTTTCCTGATTGGGTAATAAAAACACTTCAGGATTAACTGACAGGTTCACCTGGTTTGAACAAACACAATAAATCTGTACAGTTGGTTGTGTGTCACTGCTTTTGTGAAATCAAACCAAGGATAATTTGATCAATCAGGATTACCAGAAAAATCCAGCTTAATCCCATCTCCAGGTTTTGTGAAAGAGCTCTTTAGTTACATAACAAAAGCAGCAGATAACTACTGGAAGTTTAGCTGTTTTATCATCATGGACAGCAGTTTTATATTCATTTTTTAGCTTTAAATGATTTTTTATATCAGTTAATGCAGTTAATTTACTGTTAACCTGTAAATCTGTTGTATTTTCTCTGGTTTTTAGAAAAACAACCTGTGGAACTGCAGTAATCTCCCCACCATGATAAAGACGATGAAGAACTTCTCTGTCAGTATTCATGTTTCACTCAGGATGTTTGATGTTTGTGCTTTTATCAGCTGACAGATGTGTTCCTGTGTGCAGAACCCGTCTGTTTGTTACATGGAGGCGTTCATAGCTCCTCTGAGCTGGGCCGCTCTCACCTCACAGACTGAAAACTTTATTAACTCCAGCGACTACGACACGCTGCTGGCAGCTGCCAAACCTGTGCTGGTGGAGGTTCCTTCAGCAAGAACAAAGCTGCCCACTAAAATCCAGAGCCAGAACCTGAAGAAGATGTAAGTGTGGCGTGCAGTAACGTTAATGTCCACCTAACCAAGTTTTAAATCTTATATCAGCCAAAAAGTCTTTTTGATCTTGTTTTCAGACTGATTTACTAAACAAGAACTGATTGTGTAAGAATAATCATCTTGTYTTCAGAATGTGTAAGATTATTTGTCTTGTTAGTCTGAAAATTTG